TGGTACTTTGTGCTTTACTGGCATTATACAGCTTCAGTTTCGTGTTATGTATCCAACAATCTACTCAACCTCTCCGCTTGAACATCCCAGAAGCAATTTGAACTTCACACACCCAAAATTAAAGTGTACCTTTGCCCCCGCTCCTGTACCAGTCCTGCGCGCCCTGATCAGTGGCCCTCCATGCTTACCAGGTGCTCAAGCCAGAAACCTGCGACTCATTACTGACCCCTCCCCTGGTCTGTCACACCCCATCAATCACCAGTTCCCTCAGTTCTGCCTCCAGAATGTAACACAAACTCTCTCCATCTCCAGTGCTCCCGTGCACTTCCCTTGCCCACATTGTTGCAACAACCTCAAACATTGTCCTTTCCCTCTCAAATCCATTCACCACATGAAGCCAGAGTGATATCTGAAAAAATGTCAATTATATTGCCTCACTCCCTACTCCTTTCTTTTCCATTATAGATTCACCAGAAGATGCAAAGAACGTACAGGCAGGTCCCGTACATCCCTCACCCAACTTCCCATCATATAAATCCTTCAATGACTTCTTATTGCCCTGTGGATAATATCCAAAATCCTTATTCTGACCTCCAAAGCCCTTGGGATGCCCCTGCCCACACTGCTCACTGAGCTCCCCCACAGTGTCCTTCCTATAGTCCTTCAGCTGAGCAAGGATCTAGGCCTACCTCAGGCCTTTCCTCCCAAATTGTCTTCCCTGACTGGACCCCTTCCTTCCCCACTCACTCCCGTTTCTCTGGGTCAGTAACTTCTTTATCCTTCAGGCATCAGCTTCTTTGTGCTTTACTTAGTTAGCAAGCCTTCCCTGACCATTCGTTCCAAATGAGGTCTCCTTCATATTCTGTTTCACTGAACCCTGTGCTCTTCTGTCATAGCCCTTGTCATCTAGAATGTTTGTATATGTTTAACTTTTCATGTCTGACTCACTCTAGACCCTAAGTACAATATGGGGAGGGTTTTGTCCATTTTTCCTGTCACCCAAGCCGAACCCTGTACCTGTACATCGTAGGTATTTCAGATCAAATTACAGAGCTGTCCGCATGTTAGTCTGTTTCTATCAAGTAAAAAAGAAATTGGATCATCCTGAGACCCCTCTGAATTTCAGCCTCTTCCTTTCATTCTCCTCCCTACTCCAATATCCATAAACTTGTTCTATGCACAACCCAATTACGAGAAGGACACTTAATTTCCTCTTTGAGTTCCCTTCAATAACAGATTGTGACTGGTAATTCATTTAGCATACATTGAAACCTGAATGTCTACTGATTATGTTCCAAAACACCGAGCTTGCTGTAATAAAGACAGAGAAAAGATGTCATCTCCTGGAGAGAACCTGGAAAATGATTATTTCTGGTGGAAAACTTGTTTTGTCTCATAGACTTATGCTTCAGAGTCATTCATGAATGAGTAATGAACTCAGGAGAGATCAATGAAGCATTCTCTTAACTTTCTCAACCTATTTTGCTGAGAACTGAATAAGAGGAAAGTTACTAGAGGAGATGATGATTTAGGAAGAGAAAAGTATGCTTGCTGTAATGTACAACTCTTGAAAGAAGGAAATTGGGCAATTCATCTAGTTTACTATGAGTGGTTTTTCAGGCTTCAGTCATGAGTCACCTAAGTAATTTTTTCTCTGCTCTTTAATTCCAATGTTTATTTATTTTATTATTTTCCAACCATGAAGTGAAATAGTATGCAAAAGTCAAACTACTTTTAAGAGAGGAGGCAGTAAAAAAAAAAAAATTGTGGTCTTTGCCTTGCTATATGACAGTTTTAATCTAATGCCATAAAGCTTTTATTTTCTCAAGGAATTATTTAAAATAGTTAAAATACTCTTATCTCTTTTCTTGATGGATGATGAGTCACCCTCTGTAAAGTTTTTAATGATGTAGAATAACTGCAAATTAAATAGCACAATCAAAACCAGGCATTGAAAATAGTGGTGCAGGCAGTCAGTGTGCTAAATACCACAGCGTGAAGTGGGTGGTAACACGCATCGTGCAGACAGCTTGAAGAGTGACTGGCTCAGACAGACATCACTTAGTGACTGGTGGCATGACCGATGTCTAAACCTTCCTATGTCCGTGACATACATCAAAGCCTTTGGGCCTCAGCATCACATCCATCTGCTAAGGAAAAGCAGCCCCTGCCCCAAGCTTCTAGGTCAACCTATGTGAGGAGGACTCAGCCAACATCAGGCCTACGGAGATATTCTCAACAGGTGCCACCACCTGGGATGCATCATTCCAGTGATGACTGAGCGGCTGAGTTTCTCATTTTTTGTTTGTTTTGCTTTTGCTTTTGCTTTCTAAATAATTTTCTCATAGGCTGCACATCAAAAAGCACAGTGTTTCCTTATCACAAAAGTCAGCAGGAGGTATTTGGAGGCAGGAGAGAAAAGAGTCAATAGACTTTTTAAACATTGACACCCATGGACAGGGAAACTACAGAGACCATGTGAGAGGTTTCTGTTGAACTTGCAGTCACATCCCTTATGATTTTTGTTATTCCAGGAAGAGTTCGTGTCCAGTGCCTCCTGCTGAGATGATGTCAAGAGACTGTACTAGTAATGCATGCCATCTTTCCTTTGGGGAGTTCCAAATTCTTTTTGTATATTTAGCCAGAGTCAAGAATAGAGAGTTTAGTTCTTTTCAAAGATAGCTGCCAAAAGTGAAAGCCATCTTGATGAGTGATAAGAGAACACTTTAGGAGACAAACCTGGGCACAGTGGTGGTGGCCTATCCCTTGCTGGGTGCTTTTTGTGGGCATGCTCCTAGGCTAGCACTCTGGGAGAGCAAGGAGCGCGAGAGAAGGAAGTACCCATCCCCTGAGGTATCAGAGGGGCCTTCAGGGCTCCAAGTCTTCAGCTCAGGCTTCTCACCTCTTCCCCCATGCTTCTTCCTACTCCCTCTGGTGTCCTCACCAAGAGAAGCTCTGTGGATATTCTTTCCTCTCTTGGACTAATTATGTGACACTGGAATGCCAGGACATTTGGGCCTTAATTTGCTGGAAGCCAGGGGGGAGGGGGGAGGCAGTAACCCCTTAGATTGTCGGGTTTTGTTAGATTATGTTTTTTTCTTAAATCAATGTGGTGATGTAATTTGTAGGAATTATCAAGTTTCCTCTTATTTGTTTGTTTTCCAGTTCCTTTTGCCCAGCCCGGAAGCAAATTTGACTTCTTTCAAATCTGACTTTCATTCCTACTTTGCTGTGGTATTTCTCCCTAGAACTACCCTTGTCACTTTAAGGGGACCTGTCCTCACTGTACGAAGGACCTTCCTGATCTTTGAAAGGTTTTAGCATCCCCAACCCCAGGCACTATAAGCCAGTAGTGATACCCCTCATGAATGTAAAACAAAGAAACACCCCTACTCAATTCCAGACACTCCTTGTCTTTAAAGTTCTGCTCAAATTTCAGTGGGAAGGATTCCCTAACGGATTCATTCATTAAATGTTTACTCAGTGGATATTTACCGAGCACATGCTAACAGTTCTAGGCACTGTTGAGTAGCTACTGGTCCACCAACCATTAGCTGTCATCCAGACCTGCATCTTCCTAACACTGTCCTACCTTAACCTTTTCATTCACATGTTATTTCATATGTGTCCTCAAGTCATCTCTGGACCTCCAGTGTGACTTCTTACCTAGGGATGGAACTTCTCCAAGACAATGACTACTTATTCTGCTTTTGTTTTTATCCCTCCTGGAGCCCAGCATAATAGTCTCTACACAGTTGGAATTCAGTAAGTGTTGGACTGACTGATCCAAGGACATGCAGCTCCCACCAAGGGTATATTTCATTTCTGCGATAGGATGGATGACGCTTATGCGTTTTCTTTTTCTAATCTGAAGATTCTATTTTGTCAGCTGTCTAAATGGAATGAAGAATAGCATGGGAAACATTTTGGTGTCCCTGGTAAGCAGTAAACTTGACATGTGTAGCATACATGGTGAAAATGAACTGTATGCACTCTTTATTTCCTGGTGTACCCTGAGTTTTGGTCTTATAGGCCATGCTTTTGATCCCCTCACAATTATAACTTCTGAGACAGAGAACACAGTGTGACCTTGGCCTTCCGAATTCTCAGAGTGCTCAGTGATAGAAAGCCAATGTACAAAAATATAGAGAAGGCAGACAAAAAGAAAGTGATTACAAACCTGAGAGAATCTGATGGAGAAATTGTGGCTTTTTTCTTTTCTTTTTCTCTTAGTTTTGGTAGTAGGGAAAGTTTCAAAAGCATTACAGAAATGCCCAGAATAATATAATAATCTCCCAATGTGCTCATCACCTAGCTTCAACAGTTATCAACCCAGGGCCCTCTTGTTTCATTTATAAATGCCCACCCACCCTCCCTTCCCTCCAACTGTCTTTTTTTAAAGCAAATCCCAACATCATATAATCGTATCCATAAATATTTCAATATGGATCTCTAAAAGACTCTTTTAAAAATCGCCCCGACGTCATTACTATGCCTAAAACAAATCAATAATCTCATAATATCATCACATTTCCAGTCAGCATTCCAATTTCCAATTGTGGTGACTTGTTTAATCTGAAAACTGAGTCAAAAATTACCCTTTCATTGAGAAAGAAGCTACAAAGGAGCCAAGACAGATTTTTTTTTTCTTACAGGAAAGTAGAATAAAACCATGGGAAAAGCGATGTCATAGAGTAAAAATGCAACAGCTCTGATCGTCTCTCCTGGTCTCCAGAGACGATGGGTCTAACCTCACCTGCCCAGTACTCCATGCCTCCCCGCTCTCGCCCCCTGGTGGCAGGGGCGTGCGGCGGGGGCTTTTGTCAACTCTTCTGGGAGCCTTCATTTCTTAACATGATGGGGCTCTCTACTGTGTTGCTAGTAGTTTAATATTTGACCACATGGCAAAAATGTATGTGACACCGGATTTTTAAAAGTGTTGACTGAGTACATAGTTTAAAGTCAGAATATTAAATAACCGTCTCTGCTCTTCCTTCCAGCAGGCAGCCCAGAGAACTGTTCTCCACGCTCTGTCTGACAGGTACATTTTGTCATTTTTATGAACTATAAATTGCTTTATGAAACATTGAGCCCTATTTATTGTGGCATATAATTCATAATCGGATTTTGTCCCTAAAGTATCTGTGAACTGGGATGTTAAACATTTTGCATGCTTGGATTTGTCATGCATGTGTGGAGTTTATTACTGCAAAAATCGCCTTGTTGTATTTCATAGAAAGTATGAAGAACCCCTTGTTGTGCAATGAAACAGGAGACAAGAAACTTAGAGGAAAAGACCTGAATGGGGCAGTAAATTCTGAACTTTGGAACTGGTGGAGATCTAAGCTCATTTTTCAACAATAAGAGCTTCATTTATTTTGAGATGTTTTCTTCAGACTTTTTCCATAGCGCTTCACCAGGAGCTGTCTGTCTTTCGATGAAATTCTCTCTTGAAATACTTTATGCACGTAACCCAGTTCAGAGTCCCTAGCGCCTGACTTTCTACTCCTGGCTTTGGCTTGTGTTTTTGGACTTGTGTTATTGAATGAGATATATAAACCTAATCATTTAAACACACTCCAGCTGCATTTCACATCCTGCTCTGCCCAAAAAGCTGTGTGTAAAGAGAGCTGAACAGGGACATACAGAGTTACTTTTAGGAACAGACCAGACCCTTTTTGTTTTGGTTGGTTTTTGAGTTTTCATTTACTAAGGTTGGGGTATGTGTGTGTTTCTTAAAGAACTGTCAGGAGGTGAAGAGGAAGCCTGCTTTTGTCCACAAGGGGACAGAAGTGTTGGAACCAGCTGGAGGAGATGTTCCCCTGGCTGGCTGGTGGGCACCTCAGCATTATCTAGCTAACTGTCACCACCTTCCTTTTCTTCTCAGTTCTTGTTTTTTCTTTTTGACTGAACAATAATTGACTGTGTCAACTAGCTCAGTTCAGTGCTTCTCCAAGGTAAAACCTGTCACTTAGGCAAATTATTTGTATTCATGGGTGAAAAGCATTTTCTCTATGGTGGCAGGCTGAGCGTGAGTATTTTTATTTCAGTTGAAAAGCCTTCCCCATGACAACCATACAAGCTTGTGTGCTCTGAGAGGGTCCACCACGTGATCTTCTGGGAATTGCTTCTGGGATTTTCACAAAAGCTGATAACTGTACTGCTTCTGAGTCTGTTGGTAGACACTCTGGATCGAAACATTGAAAATCTGACACATTAATTCCTTTCCTCTACGTATGTCTTTTTTCCCTTTGACTTATTAAGTAAGAGTTTCCTTCAACAAAATGCATTGAAAAGCAAGCAAAGGCCCAGTTTATAATATTATGTTATTGCCAATGGTTAGAAGATTTCTTTTGGGGGTATTGAAAATGTTGTAGAATTAGATGATGGTGATGGTTTCATAGCCCTCTACTAAAAGCCATCAAATTGCACATTTTAAATGGATGAGCTTTATGGTATATAAATTATATTTCAATAAAGCTATATATAGAGATGCAAAACATCATTATGACCTTTGGTAGAATGAATCAAAACCTATTTCAGGAAAATGGGGAATTCCTTTGAAGACATGGTTGCAAATACAAAGACAAATCATCAGAGACTAGAACTGATGCATTCTAAGGCTGCTTCCCAAAACATACATGACTCTGTCCTGGATAGAAAACGTGTATGGATTTTAATCATGAGCAATACTATTCCCCTTGACTTTTTTGATATTCCCTCTAAAACCCCTCATCAAAACCAATAGTCAACTAGTAAGTTAGCATCTTAGCCCCTGTTGATTATATAACTGCTAATAGCAGAATACTGTGAGTAAAAAAAAGTCCATTCCCAAGAAACAGAGGTTCCCATTGTAATTTCTCTTCTTATGAATTTCTCCCTCTTTAAATGTAATAGAGCATTGCTCCCTTAAGTCTAAAGGTTTTTCTGTTCAAAATTGGGGGGATTTGGCTCATTTTAAAGTAATGAGTTGACTTTGCTATTCTTACAGTGCAGTTGTGTAGAGCTACCTTCTCTGTGCTTTCTCTGTTCTATGTTTTCCACGAATTCAGGGCCACATGAGTAATTTCCAGAAGTGAGAAGTATCTATAGTCATTTGGAGATACAATTTTAAATCCTTTTTTAAAATAAGGACTTAAAACACCTACTGAGCTCATGGGATTTATATTTTCTATTTTCTTAAATTAGGGAATGCTAACTTACCAAGTGATAGATGTCATTTTTCTAGCACATTACTTATTCTGTTGAATAAACCAGTATTTTCTAGAGAATGATGAATGTAACTCTGGGTCATACTACTGCATGTCTCGCCCAATATTCTGTCTGTCAGAGGAACCACCTCAGGGTGGGAATGGAATTGAGTAAAATTTCCCCCAAGTTGTGGCCCTTCCCAAGGTGGAGATCTTACCCCAGTATCTCTGGCTCCTTAGAGCAGGGTATGAATCTATTCTATGTTCATTTACATAAACTATTCTGTTTTCCTGAACTATTGTTTTCGGCCTGTTGTTATCACTTCTTGATATAAAATTCCATTATGATGAGGCAGCACTTTCATTTTGTCCTAGAAAATGGCAGCACTGGGACGCATAGGTGGCTCAGATGGTTAAGCGTCTGCCTTTGGCTCAGGTCATGATCCCAGGGTCATGGGATCAAGCCCCACATCGGGCTCCTGGCTCAGCGAGGAGCCTGCTTCTCCCTCTGCCTCTCTCCCTGCTCATACTTTCTCTCTCTGTATCTCTGTGTCTCAAATGAATAAATAAAATCTTAAAAAAAAAAAAGAAAAAAAGAAAAGAAAGAAAATGGCAGCACTTTTAAGACCTTACAAGGTGTTTCCCTGAGTTCTGCAGTTAGGCAGAACAGCCCGTGGTGGCTTAGGCTGTGCCACCGTGGACTTCTTGTCTCCTGTCCTGCTAGTTTGGTCACATGTGGGCCCCTTTCATTTCCAGTTAGCCTTCTAACCACCTTGAGTACCTGGTGGACTCAAGGACATTTGATACAGGAGCAGAGCCATTTTGTTTCAAGATGTGAACTTGATGATAACCTTCAGGTCGTTGGTGGGTCTGAGTGTACACTGAAGGAAGCCAGTAGCTGTTCTCTGCTTCCCCGTGAGAAAACCTGCATCCAAGTCTTAGAGACCTAACTTGACGAGACGAGTTGGCCTCTCCCTTTTCTTTCTAATGGCAGGTAGAAATCTTGTTCCTTTGGGGTGTCTGAGATGAGAGAACATCCAGAGCCTTTTGAAGGCGAATCTTGTCCATCTTTTCATTTCTCCGGTTTCTTGGTTAAATAGACATTCTAGCAGAAATCCAGTATCTTACAGTTAAGACTGTGCTTTAAAGTTCAGTGGGTCCTAAACAATCAATGCACAACCTTGGTAAATTAAAACTATGAGATTTCCATTACTTAAATGTAAAAGTCTTCTGTGGTCACCTCCAGTGAAAACGTGTGGCCTTGTTTGGTTTTGCCTGAACAATGGGCTGAATTTATGGTTCCTCCAAAACAGCCAAGGTGTTGAAGACTGGATCGCCCTGGCAAGGCAAATCTGGGCTTCAGCCCAGCTAACCTGCGCCACCCTGCAGGGACAGGAAGCCTTGCATGAGGGTAGAACGGCGCTTTTTTGTTGTTGTTCGTTCCTACTGCTGACTGTAAAATTTTTCATCTGTTTTATGCCTTTGAGCGTCAGCTGGCCTACCAGAGGCCCACTGATTCCCCAAATCATGAAAAAAGTAGGAGACCAGGGCAGGAAGAGGTAGCAAAATTCTCAATAAGGTAAAACAAGCTAATTAGAAGAAAACCTCAATCTACAAAGGGACACTCTCCTTCTTACTTAGTCACTCCTTAGAATGTGCCTCCCAAGTGTTTTGTTTGTTTGTTTTTTTCCTCCTTATGGATCATTGTACCAGACAGGGTAGAGAGAGGCAGAGGAGAATAAGGATAAATGGGCATGAGGCTCATTTGTAAAGGTGTGTCTTTGGTGTATACTCACTGCACTGTGAAAGCAGCCACATTGCCAGTAATGTGGAAAATATGCAAAGTGCTGTTCAGAGAAGGAAGGGTATATGTGCAGCATATGAAGTGCCTCTGAATATGATTAACTTCGCCTCATAAGTAGTAAATAGTAGATAACTGTGATCAAAAAAGGGATTCGTGTGATTTATCAAGCTGAGCAACTGTGCATTTGCAGAGAAGCTGGAGGTCAATCTTGAAATCTAGGGCAAGAGGAGCACTAGGAAATTGCCGGGACTGAGAAGTTAATCATACCCTTGGACTGTTTCCATCTGTCTCCGAGCGACAGAGCTGCTGCAGAATGAGCAGGGATGCTTTATAGCAGCAGATCAGGAATTAATATTTTCTGTGAAACCTCAAGCATCATTTGCAGTAACTTGGGTTTTATAAAAATGGAGCATAATTTCATGTGAATAAATCACATTCAGCTGGAAATAAGAGGAGCTGGGGGGGAAAAAAAACTGTGCCTGACTTTAAAAAAAGAAAGGAATGAGCAAGAAAGCCAACATGAAAACAGTTGTTGAAGCGATGGCACTTGGAGGGCACGAGTGGCCGTGTGGTTAAATTGTGCATATAATCATCTTCTGAAATGTCAGCGTGTGACTCCAGAAACGGCTACATTTTTATAGCCTTGGAGATGTATCACCAGACTGTAACCTGTCTGCCCATCTGGCAATATCTCAGGTCCAAGAAACATTTATACTGAAATCCAAACAACTGCCATTGATTGATTCATTTACGCCTCGAGCATTTATTGAGTGCATCGCGCGTGCTCAGCCAGGCGCAGAGCTGGGGCAGGGGTGCAGTGGTGAGCAGTAGCCGCCATGCACCTTCACTCAGGGCTTTACCACTTAGAGGGATGCTGGCTTTGCAAAAAGAAGGGCCTCTTTGGGCTCATTCAAATAAATCTCACCCATCAAATCTCCTCTTCCCATTAGGGAGAATGTAATGGAATTAAGCAAATGAGATATAGACTAAAAGGAAGGGGTTTTCCTTCCATGTGGGGCTGGTATTCATCCAAAGGCAGGACTGGAA